GTGGTGGCACATGCCTGTAGTCCCAGCTACTCAGGAGGCTGAGGCAGGAGAATTGCTTGAACCTGGGAGGCGGAGGTTGCAGCGACCTGAGATCGCGCCACTGCACTCCAACCTGGGTGACAGAGCAAGATTCCATCTCAGAACCAAAAAAAAAAAAAAGATTTAGCTAGCTGGCTGGCTGGGGGTGGTGGCTCACGCCTGTAATTCCAACACATTGGGAGGCCAAGGTGGGTGGATCTCTTGAGCCCAGAGATTTGAGAACAGCCTGAGTAACAGTGAAACCCCATCTCTACAAAAAACAGAAAAATTACCCAGGCATGGTGGTGTGTGCCTGTAATCTTGGCTACTTGGGAGGCTGAGGCAGAAGGATGGCTTACAGCCTGGGTTACAGAGCAAGACCCTGTCTCAAACAAACTAACAAGGCGAATGTGTAACACAAAATTAGTAAAGATGACTACTGATTCTAAACACTGGAACAAGGACCAGGACTCCAACCACAGCCGTGCGAACCTGGGCTCACTCCTGAGTGAGTCCCACCAACATGGCAGTTCATTCTCACATGACACTGGCCGGTCCATGGCAGGATGGGCATGGTCACCCCCTAGAGCAAGTTGGGGGCTCAGGCCTGTTTGAGAGGGAGGGGCAGGAGGGCCTCTTCCGACCTCAGCCATATGGCTGGGAGAAAGACTCTGCCCCTCACCTGGAGGCCCTGGAAGAAGGCTCTCTTGGCCAGAAGAGTCAACATGAAGGGAGATCAGACTTGCTAGAGGCACTCACTGGAAGGCCCCCTTCCAGTGTTGGCCATGATTTCTGTCTGTGACATCAACAGCGGCCTACTTTGGGCCGTGGGGCTTGGAGAGTGCATGTATGCTTTTTCCCCTGGGCTGTGGACTGGAGGGCCTCACTCCAGCCTACTCCGAAGGAAAGGGCAACCTCTTGCAGAACCTGGACCAGGGCTATTTGGGAGCCCAAGGAGCCTATTCTTGACAGCAGCAGTGCCGGCAGGGCACCCAGTGAGACACAGCAGGGACACTGACCTGGAGCGATGGCTTGCCAGCAGGAATGTTCTGGGTGCCTCGAACAAGCGGGGGAGGGGTGGTCACGGCACTCCCGACAGAACCTGTGGGCTGCAAGAGAGCAGGACACCAGGAGGTGAGGGGCCACCTGGCCCTCTCCCCACATGGAGGCGCCAAGATTTAATGCTGCCACCGAGGACTGACTGTCTTCCTCCCCTATGGCATCAGGCTCTCAGAGGTTCTGCTTGAAGGCTGAAAGTGACCCTGTCTGCGGTAGGAGGTGACAATTTCTACATGGGCCTAGAAGAGATTTTCCAGCAGCCCCACCCACTACTCTCGGCATCACTTCTTGGCCACTCCCTGACACCCATGCAGTGTCCTGTCACCCACTTGTGCCCTCCAGGGGACAGAATGGCTGATGGCGGCAGTGCCGCTGAGGCAAAGGACCCATGGCCCAGGCAGGGAGATATCAATCTCAGTGAGAAAACAGTGACTCTGGGCACTTTTTAAAGCTGCATGTTCCACTAAAGAAGGGTCAGTGACAGACTTGGTGTCCCTCAATGAGTTTTTGACAAGTGACAAAGAAATAGAAAAAAGAAACAGGCAGGGCTCTTTCCAATCCACTTACTAATTGGGTAGGTGTGAGGTGTGCGGGGGGGCGGGGTTTCAAAAAACAAACCCCCAAGCCAGAGCAGGGAGAGTCCTGTCCTTCCTTCAGCTCCTGCTGCCCAGGACACACTTACTTTCTGCTTCACTGAGGCAATTACTAAAGTACTCGGAAGGTAGGAGTTTCCCAGAACAGAGCACTCAAAAAGCCCAACAAAATAAACTTAACCTCGCTGCCCATTAACCTGCATCTAGAAGCAGAGCAACAGTGAGCTTCAGGCTCCAGGGAAGAAGGAACAGAAGCAGGACCCTCCTGAGAGTTGGGGCTGAGATCCATAGCAGCTCAGCACATGTCCAGCTGGGAGGGGACTGAGATGCACACAGCAGGAGGGAGGACAGTAGAGACTGGGGCATCCCCTGCGCCCACAGTGCGGGCGGCCTTTCTGCACAGAGCCCTTCACCCAGAAACATGCTTCCAGTGGCACCAGACATCTGTGCTCCACTTCCCTGACACCTGTTGTCCAAGTGAGGTTTAGGGCGGGTGCGGTGGCTCATGCCTGTAATCCCAGCACTTTGGGAGGCCCATGAGGGTGGACCACAAGGTCAAGAGATCAAGACCATCCTGGCCAACATGGTGAAACCCCGTCTCCACTAAAAATACAAAAATTAGCTGGCTGTGGTGGCACGTGCCTGTAGTCCCAGCTACTCAGGAGGCTAAGGCAGGCCAATCACCTGAACCCAGGAGACAGAGGTTGCAGTAAGCCAAGGATTTGTGTCACCGCACTCCAGCCTGGCGAAAGAGCAAGATTCTATCTCAAAAAAAAAAAAAAAGTGAGCTTTAGACCCTCAGATCCAGATTACTCTAGACTGAAATTCACTTTAACATCTTCTAAGCTAAATCCAAAATGCACACTGGCGTCCACAAACGGGGGAGCGGGACCTTGCCCTATACTCCCTCAAGGAAGCCCTTTCACCTTTCTGGCCCCTGACATTGATGATGGGATCAAGGCAAGGCCAGAGGCTCCTGCTGGCCCAGCGAGGAGGGGAGACAGGCACGCACCTTCTGGGCGGTGGCTTCCTTTTGTATCTGACTCTGCCGCAACTTTTTCAACAAAACGAGTTTTGCTTCTTCTAACCTCAACTCTTCTTTCAGCTGTTTGATCATCCTTTCTCGTTCTTCAGGACTGCTTTTCTGCAGGGGCGAGAGGAACAGGGTTGAGGGAGAGCGTCCTTGGTGGGAAGCAGAGGCCCTGCCGTCACTAGCTCCACCCAAGGGCGCCATGAGTGGGAAGGGCACAGTGGGGCTCTGGCGGCAGTGCCACCACATGGCTCACCATGAGGGCCTCGGTGCTAGTCTCCTTCAAGGCCACCGTGGTCAGCCCATTCACTCTCGGGCTCGAGGGCTGCTCGTTGTCAGACAGCACAATCACATCGGGTGAGGGAGGTCTCCTCTCGGATTTCATGTCACTGTGGGGTGGAGACAGTAGTAACCAGAGTGCCCTTGACAGCTGTGCCCACCCCTGTGGACACATGGCAGGGAGGTGAGACCTCCCTGGCTGCTGTCTGCCCTGCATCTTCCACATCCCCAGCCCCACCCCACGGCACCTGGGCTGCCTCCTTCTTCTCACCCACACGTCATAGGGCACCCAATCCCAGTGCCCAGGTGGGCACCTTGATGGTAGGGACTTCTTAGTGCCTGCCGCCATGTTGCCAGGGCTGAGGGTGTATATGCCCCTGAGAGTGACATGGTGACTCTGGAAAACATGCCGCTCCCTCTACCGTGTGCCTCGGATTGTGTAAACACTCGGCTCTGGATCCTGGGGTCCTGCTCAGTGTTAGCCACTGTGGGGGCTTGAGCATGCTGGGTCTGATGGCATGTGTGTGCCTCGTCCCCAGCGGCAGTCCGTGCCCATGGTGGAAACCCCTTGAAGAAGAGCCCAGCTCCCTGTGTGAACCACTTTCTTCTCTCTCCACCCAGGCAGGCCAACAGCCCTCACACCTGGCAACCAACCTGTCCCCAGAAGACCAAGAGGTGTATCCACAGGCTGCCAGCTTGCTCACAAGGTGGCACCAAGTGCTAGATGGCCCTTCTTGGGCCCCACGTGGCAGCAGCAACTATCTGTTTTGAAACTGACTAGGACACAAGTTCTCTCAAAGACCAGAGACTCTCTACCAGCCTGATCTACTCATGGACTGGTTTCTGGCTGGCTGCCTCCAGCTCCACGTGGATGCCAACATCATTCTGCCTGTTACCCTGCTGCCCACTCCATAAGTTCCAGCTCAAAATTGCATCATGAGACAGTTCATCATGATTCCAGCCCTCACACCTTTTTCTTTCTAATGAATTTGCCATGGTCTGGGGAACTCACTTCTACCTGTGAACTTGACCTGAGGCCTGTTCTTCCCCTTCTCACTGTCGGCCCACAGCATCTCACTACCAGCTGAGAAGCACCAGGGGACAATCGGGGAAGTACTTGCAGGCTTTCCTTTTTTGTTATTTTGTCAAAATACAGTCACAAACATCTAAGAGTGTGGCTGATGAGCTGCTGTTATTCATCAGAACCAGGAAACAGTAAATATTCATTCTGTGCTAACTGCAGGCCAGGCTCCAAGATAAGTTCGCATGGCACCCACGTCATTTGACCCAGGCAGAAACACATCAGTCTGATTTTCCCCTTCCTGTGAACGATCCTGTAGGATGTATATGTACAGCTGACACTACTGAAGGTGCAGGACTGAACACCTGCTGTGGTGTTGCTGACCCAACGCAAGTCCCAGAGACAGCACTCGTTCCCAACCAAGCAGCTCCATTTGCTGACGGCACAAGGCAAACTGTCCCTGAAGATCTGGATTCATTGTACTTTTTTTTTTTTTTTTGAGATGCAGTCTCGCTCTGTTGCCCAGGCTGGAGTGCCGTGGTGCAATCTTGGCTCACTACAACCTCCACCTCCCTGGTTCAGGCGATTCTCCTGCCTCAGTCACCTGAGTAGCTGGGATTACAGGCATGCATCATCATGCCCGGCTATTTTTTTTTTTGTTTGTTTGGTATTTTTGTAGAGACAGGGGTTCACCATGTTGGCCAGGGTGGTCTTGAACTCCTGACCTCAGGTGATCCGCCCACCTCAGCCTCATTGTACTTTGATCCAAGTGAATCAAGTCCGGTTTTTTGTCAGCAGGAAAACCAGCCAAGGACAGAATGCATCCTCTAGGTGGCACTGTGACCCAGGGAACAAACTTGGACAAAGTTAACTGGGAGCTGCAGCTCAAAGTTGTCCGGGCTCTCGCTCTGCCTGGGTCCAGTTCATAATTAGACCCCGGCAGGGTTGAGGAGCGTCGCTAGGATGAAGGACCTGGCTCTGCTCTAGCAGCCCTCGGGACCTCTGAGGTCCCCTCCAAGCCCAGGAGCTGCGTCCTCAGGGAATGGTGGACACAGAGCACCAGAGGCTAAGGCTTCACCAAGGCTACCCCGGACTCATCAGATGCCGGACTCAGGAACCGCTTTACTTGCTCTCCTCTTGTCCCTCCTAATTCCACCCACCAGAGCTATGTGGCGGCTGTACCTGAACGCTGGTCCTAGCCCTGATCAACTAGGTTCTCACCAGAGACCTGGGCATGGACAGAAAGGTACGATTTCGAAGTATACAATCCCCCAGGCAAGGGGTTATCAGCCCACATTCTGAAGCCCAGAACTGGGTAGCTTGTTTCTAAAGTAACCCAGGACACCTCACTCAGGTCTTAGCAAACCGCCAGCATGTCTCTCCTTGCTGCCGGCCCCATGCCGCCCAAGATCGACTTTCAAGGTGACCTCAGGGCTCTAATTCCAGGCTCCCTGGATGTGTACACACACTGAGCACCTCAGAGGCAGGTGGTCCCAAGGCTCCAGCACAGAGCTGCAGCAGCTGGCCTCTACCCAGGTGGGCTCCAAAGTGAACAGGGTAGTGGGGGCCCAAGGCAGCATCCCGTATAGAGTTACAGACACACTTCCTGGGCCAGCACGAGCTGAAATGAAATGACAGCCAAGCTCTAAGGGACTTAACACTTCTTATCATCTTATTGAGGGCGTGAGGTTCTTCCAGAGGTGAGACGTCTAATAAAATTCAAATCTGCCTGAGGGAAGAGGGCAGGCGAAGGGTCCAGACCACCTAGTAGCTGAATCTGCCTGAGTGGGCTGCTCTGACCACAGTGCTTCCTGGCCCCATCTTGGCTTGCGACTAATCAATAACTCATCCAAGAGATGATGTCACCACCCATCAATGATCACTCAGCATCCTAGCAGCCAGCAGGGAGTGAACTTCCTGTATGCTAATCAGGCCACCAAAAAGTCATGTGACAAAGGCATTTCCCTCCTTGGTCACATGACCCTTTAACTGTGCCTTCCAATGTGAAAACCATGGCAACGGCCAGTTCCAACCGGTTTGTGACACGCAGCCTTCATTTTGAGAAGGGAGGTAAGGGTTCAGGTGCTGTCAGAAAATGGAGGCGCCAGGCTCACCCCAGGGCTGTGGAGCTGCAGGCACTTCCTGTGTGGCGCCGGCCCACAGGGGACTGTTGCTGCACCACAGGCTCCAGTCACCTCTACACACACCGCACACGGGCCCCTCTTAAGTTTCTAAAATGAAAAACTTTGTTAAGCTCACTTTTTAAAGGAGAGGGGCTTTAGGAGTCTCAGGACTTTTTAAAATAGTTAATTCAGGAAAAAAGCATGTGGCTCAAAATGATCGTAGGCATTATTTCAGGGAAAAATTTAATTATGAAAACTGCCTGAAGTAAATAAAAGCAGTGGAAACCTAGCCCAGCATGCTGGGAGGGATGGCATCGTGGCCCAGGGACAGCGTCTGCCATTCACTCTACAGCGGCTGTCCCAGGCACCAAGTTTATTTGGAAGTGATGTGGTATTTCAGGACAAATCCCATAAGCCCGTCCTGCCCATCTTGAGAAGCCTTAATGTAAAACACACTGATCAAGAGATTTTATGTGACCTACAAAAATCCCTGGAAGCAGGCCAGGCTGTTATCAGCGTAAATGGTCTCACCCGCTCCCTGCCACACACCACCCATACTCCCCCACCCGCTGGCACCAGCCCTGACCTCACAAGCACAGAAATTCTGTTACCTGCCAGGAACTTCCATAGAACTTCCTGGAGGAGAGGCCGGGATTATAAACTTAAATCGAGACACAATCCCACTTCCACAGCACAAGGTTATGGCTTTCAGCTGCCCAGCAACCAGCAGCCAGTACGTGGTTAATATTTAGTGTTCCCTCAGCCAGTGCCGGGAAGGAGCCGTTCTTGGAGGCTGGGACCTTTGTGGTTCTCTGAATGGGCCTGCCTGGTATGCAGGGAAGGCACACTTCATCCCCCTCTCCCTCATTCATTCATTCATTCATTCATTCATTCATTCATTCATTCATTCATTCATTCCTCACTCACATCTGCTGAGAGCTCATTTAAAAAGTAGGTGCTGCAGCAGGCAGTGGGGAGGAACCCCTGGATAAAAGGAGGCTCTATCCTTAGGGTTCAGTCTACCAGGTAGGACAGACACAAAAGGGAAGGGGCAGGTGGGGGCGAGGCTGTAGGTGGGCTTGGGGCTGGCCCCGTGAATGTCTGACCACCGCTGTCACAGCCACAGCAGCAGGGCAGCTTCTCCGGAACTTGTATAAATGCAGCGTGTCCTCCTTGCCCCAGACCTGCTTGATCAAAGTCTGTATTTCAGCAAGATCCCCCAAGTCTTGCACACACTAGGGAAGTTGGGGATGATCATGACCTGTGGCCCAATGAGGCCTCAGGATAAGAAATCCTCCTCCAGGCTGGCTCGGGGAAGACAGACAGGGCCCAGCAATGCCTTCTCCAGCCACATAACCATTTCCCGCTAGAAGCTTTCCTCCTCACCTCTTTCAGGCCTAGCAGAGTGGACTGCTGGCTGTGTGTAAAGGTGGGATGAGGGCTTTGCTAGAGCCAACACCAGTCCTGCCAGCCCACTTGTCCCTTGTGCAAACACTCATCTTGGGCTCACCAGGCCCTACCCGACATGAACCAAGCTGTTAACATCCCCCGCCCTCCTGGGGCCTGGCCCACAGACATGGCCCAGCATGGCCGTGTTCTGTCTACAGAACATCCCTCTTCAACATGCCTCAGGAAGCCTGCCCGGCCCTGTCCCCCTGCCCCGAGGTGAAGGTCATAGCAGAACTTGGGGTTCTACTTGGGGGACTGCAGGTCTAAGCAGAAACTCCCCAGCTTCCCAAGAGGGGCTGGCTGGTGGGTTTCTGTTCCTTAGCCCCCCAACAGCCCAGTGACTGGCCCACCCACCCTCAGCCCAGCAAGCCTGTCTAAGTGCCTTTGGTTCCCTGCACCGCACCCCACCCCACCCCTGTGAAGATGAGCCCTCCCTCCCCCCGCCTTGCAGGGTGACATGTCAGCACCTGTCTGACAAGCAGGTTCCTGCACCCTGAGCTGGGGGCCATCATGACCT